AGAGATTATTCATGTGATCTATTTTATCACTGAAAAAGACTGGCAAAAGTCACTGTGTAGGTGAACCATATGTCGCATATTCTTCAGAATAATAATCTGTCTACTAGCTAGTCATGATTTGAATCATTCATCGTTCATTGGTCGAACCATTCAACATAAATTTGAACCTTTTGTAGTGAAGTCTTTGGAGATGATTAGTGTATAATTAGTTTAAAAATAATTTTTGTTATTACTCATATTTCTCATAATTTCACTTCATTTGTTACTGACTATAAAATTGTTGTCTAAATTTTTCCTTAACTTTTTCGTTACCGATTCGTTCTGTGCCTGGATGATGAATATCGTTCATGAATACCCTGTCGCCTATATACTCCCTTCCTAATTAATCAGCTGCAGCGTTAATAGAACTCCAGTATAATCCCTATCTACCTTTAGAAGTCAATTTAGTATCCTCATTACTTGATTATTCCTGATAAATATTGTATGTGGAATTATTAATTACTTGTTATAATTGTGAATTACGAGATCTACATTCTGAACACGTTTACAACGGATAATATAAACAACATCCAATATTTTGTGTGTGATTTTATATTTTCATATAGTATTGATTCTAAAAAAAATTTTTCTCAATAACTTTATCGCTGTTCTGGCACTTAAAGTTTGGTGTATCAGAAGTTTCAGAAATTGCGCAACCTTAGTAAGATGTATCACGGTAACTGCTTTAAACACTTTACATTTATTGCGCAACTTAATACAATGAAACTTATGATTTCAACTGAATTCCAATTCTTATCTCATTCAATTAAGTGATTTAGTGGTGCTGAATTTGACTCTATTGTCTAGGAACAGCTAAATATGCTATAAAATAAATCTCTTCGAATTCCTCATACCATTCTTAGGTGAACGCCGTTTGTGCGATGGGGGTTAAGTTGAATGAATTTATTTCATACATTTGTGTAGGCAGACAGAAAAATGAACGCGAAGCGTAAAAGAGAAGCAAAACAAGGTGAAGCGGATAAGGCGCATGGGGCATGACAAAGTATTGAAAGTCAGTTAAAATAAGCTGGACATGTGATAGGCGAAGCACATTTAAATCTAATCGAATGTGCAACGGAGTCGTGGAGGCTTACAGTAATGTTCCACAGGCAGAGATAAACTCCTTTCCGAATTCTATATTATACAATGACATGGTTTGAATTGATATGAGACGCTTTCAGATGAAGCTAGCTGTCAAAATACAGGGAAAGCCTAAGAATCTGATTAAGTTAATAACTTAGTCAAAACCAACAAACCAAGGTGTTTGTGCTCCCGAAGGTCCAGATGGCGAAGATCTTAGCAACCTAGAGATGGCTGAAAGCAGCAGTTCTGGTCCGTACTTTGAAGATTGTAACACTTTTCGTCGATAATAATCTATCTCACTTTTTCCTTCTATCAAGTAATGTTTGAACATACGCTTTTACAAGGTAAAGAGCTCATTAACAATTTACTTTGAAACCATACCATGGATGTCTAAAAAACACTTTACTTCGCCTGTCGCCTAAAATGTCTAAAACCGCTACTAAAGTGGATAAAAGAAAACTTTTAAAAACAGTGATCGGTACTTATAGTACTTTAACTTTCCTAAGAACAAATTAGAATCTACTATGAACTTAGGCGCAACCTCTCATCACCTTGTACCTCATGTATATAAGGTCAAACAACCTCAAACTGAGTGACTAAACACCATTCACTCCCGGAATTCAAAAGAGACATTTTCAAGCGCCTACTGGAAAGTTTGTTTGATCGTCAAATGAGTGCACTTCATAATAACCCACAGATTGTCAATAATCCCGTACGCAACCGAGAATGCAGGGATGTAGATCTGGATTATTTACACAAAGATAAATTCATTACCTGAACTGAGTATTCTCAGATTAATTAACGACTGTCAATGAGAAAAAGTGTGCAGGGATCTGAGTATTCGCTCTTTGATGTGCAATCTTTCGAGGATTTCCTCGAGGGGAGTGGTGGTGATGCATCAGTAAGATTCTCACATTGGGATGGTTTGGCATGCTTAATATGTTGTACGCCATAATCAGATCACCTATGATCCTCCTGTAACTCAGTGGGAATAATCCCAAGAGCTGGAGTCTATCTTCGTAAGGTTGATTCTTCAAACATATCAGCCATTCAGTTGCTCGTTTCTGCACTCGATCCGAGATTTATGCCTCCCCTAGGCAGAGGGGGTGCGATGACGTTGTGGACCACCAGGTGTGTGCGCGCATACGTCTTAAATAGTTTTAAGAATAATTCTGGGGTGATAGCACTAAGTTGTCTTCGCATGAAGTGAAGAGTCGCACTTGCCTTGGCTGCGTCCCCTATATAGTTCGGGCTCGCGTGGGGGCTTTCTGTGGTCAATAAAACAAGATCGCGCCATGAAGAGACATTAGGCTGCGGACTTTCATTGAGGGTGTAGATTGTTCGTGTCGTGTGAGGCAGAATTTGCTTGACGTGGCACTTTGGTTGGTTGAGTTTTTAACCGTTTTTCACGGCCAATCCCTCAATCGATGTTAAGTCCTTTTGAAGCTCAGTCGAATCCTCTTCGCTTCCAATGGACCTCCGGATCTTCCGATCGTCTGCGTATATCAATGTCGGTGAGTTAACTCAGTGTGAGACTGTCTTTAACGAAGTTCCTGATTCTACATAACTTACTATTCAAGCCCGTGAATGTAAAATACTGATTGGATGTATATATGGAGCTTCAAACTCTCAATGATCTTTCAACTTTACTACCGGTGAGCAGTTTACTAGGGTTGCACCACTTGAATTCCCATGCAAAATTTTTTGTGGCGACTTAAACTTCCTTGAAATCAACTAGTGGACGAATTCTGGTCCATCGAGCTACAAAAGCATACATAATTTCTCAGACATGGTCGGCAACAACACCTGCCTGCAAAAAACTACAACATTCTTGACTTGAAATTTTTCATGGTGCCACACCATCTATAACGGTCTGAGAAAGGTTTTTCAACAGCGATCATAGAATATTCGTCTGCGGTATACCATTTGTTGCAAAATTCAATAAATCCAAGACAATACGGCATTTTCAACACAGAGGCTGTCAACACTATGACTAGGATAGCTTCTAATTTCTAATCCAACACTTCAATTGTACTACCAAATATGCTGGCACTATTACTGAAAAAACTCAAATTTACCCAAGATGCTGGTAAATACACTGGAGCCTGGAAACTAATAAACGCTCACACTAAATAAAAATCACGGTCGATAAAGGTATTCCAAAACTTCAAACTCATTAACATCTCCTCAGTTATCACGCGGATAATGGAGAAAGGGATAGAAGATCAGTTCACTTATCCCTTGCTCAAGGAAGGTTTTATTGACCCCTAACAGAACTAGGGCATGCACTATATGTCAGATAGATTTCCTTAATTAAGTTACCGTTATACGTGATTAGAAGCAACAAGTGATCCTGTAGTATTTCGATATCAAGAAGGCTTTTTATAAGGCACCTTGCAATCTCTTTATCAGAAAACTTCAGCCCGTTTAGATTACTAACACCTATTGCAACAGACTGACTTTTCCCACGAATAGTTACCAAATTACTTGAATTAACTGCACAACATTTAAACCTCGACCAATAGTCAGTGTCTTAGTTCCATCGCTTCTCGTAATCTATGTCAACAGCGTATTCAGTTACTTCAGCACAGGCAAAACCTAACTATACGTTGATAACTAACAAATGTGACATAGGAAATTCGACGAGAACAACTCAGTATGAATTATATAATATAGACGACCGGTGTTGGCGTTGCAACTTGTAACTAATTACTGAGAAATGTGGCTGACTGTGTTTTGTAGACACGTCTGCCAAAATAAACCCCACTCTCAGAAGGAGTGTACTGCCTGAACACACATTACTAAATGATCTAAGAGCGCAGCAATCGCACAGCCTAATATTTTCTGCAAATTTGTACAACAGAGGCTCACAAATGCAAGAAACCCTACGCTTTGTCTTTCGTAACTTCTTTCAGAAAGAATCCAGAGTTATTCTATGTAAGGATTACTGCTGAATGCTTATATTTTAACTTAAGCCTATTTGGACGAACAACTGAACAAACTACTGAGACTAAAAACTACCGAATCATATAATATACATTGACATGAACATCCTCGACGAGGAGCTGATCATTTGTAAACGAATAATCCAAGTTCGAGGGTTTTACTCAGCTTTTAAATGGCTCTTAATAAACATCCACTCCACCTCCATTCTGGTGTACCCTAGCCTTGAAAACTCACTTCGTCGTCTGCAATGTCAGGAGATAGTCATGTTTCAGTTAGGATTATTATCTTCAGATCCATCTGACAGCACATATTCTTGATTTCCAGCAGCTTACTTCTTAGTTCTCTTATGTTATCAGAGAGGCACTTGGTGATTTGTTTCATCACCTGCTGCACCTCTGAAGCGACAGCCGTTGTCGGATTTCCAAACAAGGTGTTCAAACCGAGATGGCCAGTCCTGTGGAATCACGCCTCCACAGGTGATTTGCCTGTGCAGTGCGTTCAATCGACGAGACTTTTAAATTCGATTCTTGTGCAGAGGCTTGCTGATCGGGGTCTATTGTCATTGTTGTGAGCCTATTTTTTTTAACTAAATTGACCATTTATTTATTTAACTCTGAAATCATCGTACTTACATCAGAACTTTTTCCTCATTTTTTCACGCATCGATCAACGCCCTGGTGTTGTGATAGAAAAAACCTACTTCCCTGAAACAAACGTACTCATTGAAATCACGGAACATATAAACTCACAAACTGGCAAGAATTAGTGGGGTCGAACGGCTGAACCCTGATCCATCAGGCTAAAATGTACTGCAAGATCAAGAACCTAGCGAAACTAAATCGACCCGTTCATACTAACTCGTGAAAAAGAACTGGATATTGTTTTGTTATATCATTTCACTTTCCAAGGCCGTACGTGCTATAACCATGGACATGGGGGGATTTTGGAATACTGCGAAAGTTAACTACAGTGAGGAAACTAGAAAATTAGTAAATGGTGATTTGTATTTCGTTTCACTAATACGATTTAGATCTGATAAAAGATTCAAGGATAGCAAATTTTTACCGTCAGTCAATAAATACCTCAATTAAAAGTACGAAATAGAGATATCTAATTGTAACTTTGATATATCTTACATAGATGGCGAAAGTTTGGCAACCAATTTCAAAAAACCATCTGATATCGATAAGAAATCGTCAGGAAAAAACAGGAAACAAATAAACAGGTATTTGCGAATTACTTGGTTGTCTAACTCGCACATGAGTTGCGCTAAACTTATTTGACGATTGCTTTCCATTTTAATGCATTGAAAAATAATGAAAATTGATTTTCAGGAATAAAAAGCCACAACGAAGAACAAAAGCGATGATAGAGCTCAGTGGTGCCTACGATCCAATATCATATCAACCGCCTCCTAGTAAGTTTACTTCTAATAACTGTACAAACCTACGGTATAAATCAATAATGCGGCTTCTGAAGCACATAGATTTCCATTATAAGGCAAACTAAAATGTTGGATTGAACATCCAGATTGAGATGGTTGCGTCTCTAACTTGTTTCATGATCATAAGTAACAATATGTGAGCTGTGCTGCTGGAAGACATTAAACATATGGTCAGTTAATCCATAACTCCACTTTTATGGTTCTTTTAAACCAATTTCCTAATGTTTCGATTGGTTTTGGTCGGAAGAGAAAAGGCAGTCGCTTAACCACGCACACGGATCTAGTAGAAATGGATCACTAATACCTTCAGTTAGGGACCCAAGTATATTTATTGAGTAAGAGAGAGGTATTCTTGAGCTTCTGACTGAATAAGCCTTATGTGAAGGCAATCCACCTATACGAGGCTTACTGAGTGGGTGATCCCTGTCTTTTCAACGTTTTTCTTGTATTTGGCACTCCACAAAGGGAACAGCTAGCTCTAATTTACTAATTGCTTAATTCTTTCATTATGTGGCTATCTGGATGCATGTGAACTCCTTTTGATAACTTGTGTCTATCGACATTAAATGTCTTAAGACTGGCATATGTCATTTGGGCCGAAGGAAAGGTTATTTTTTGTGGCTGAGGTTTAGAATGGCACAACTTGTTGAATCAGTGTATACTTCACCATTCACAATGATAGCAGTGGATGAATGTCTTTTATTAATTCTTCGGGATGTCATAGATTAGACTTCTGTCTGAATATGGTCCACCAGACAGTATCCCTACATCCCCTTTAGATTTCAGTAGATGTATGGCTAGTAGGATGCCCTATGTCGGCGCTGCTAGTGAACATTACATGAAGTAATCTTTGATGGTTTCGATGTTCGGTACTATTCTCCTGGATATGAGTTTGAGCTTTTTTAACTCTTCCAAAAGCATCATGTTGTTTTTGTCCTGAAAACTGTTAGAAATGTCAGAACGGCGTTTAACGCTCATGACTATCAAACGAGTGATGATATTGCCCAGCATTCATATTGCATATACTACTCATCCACTTGCTATCTGATCTACTGAGTCTGTTCCAAAGTCTGTGCACCCTTCGTGAAACCACCATTTGAATTTGTCACTCTCAACATCTGTAGTGATAGTGGTTTGCATGTGCACTAGGCGACCATAATAAAATAGGGTTATCAGATAAAATGGGATAACAGTATGTAATCGTTAAAGAAAAACAGTAAAAATATTCAAAACAGATAGTATAAACACGAAATATTCTCAATCTGGAAAAGATTAAAAACTAAACAGTAAGCCGAAGAAAAATCACAATTTAGTAATAATTCTGATAAAACTTAAAAGAAAAACAGACTAAGAAACAACAAACTCAAGATGTATTCTTTGGATCGAAAACGATACTTTTGTTGAGTAAAGACATAGCAAAAGATTGAGAGAGAAGAATCATGTTATTACACCATTCGTAAAGTGCGCTGTCGGGATCATCGCCATGTTTTTAATCATTTTTGAGTTATCTTTGGAGCTGTTTGCCTGTAGTAGCTGACATTATGGTTGATCCTAAATGTCCTAAATATCCGTGGTGTCCGTATAAAGTGGTAAACACCTTGAAAATAATCACGTACTTATCTGATAATTTTGGCACGCTAGATTCTGTCCTCAAGTCGTGGCCCATTAGCAGCTACAAGAATATATTTTGAGTAGGTGTGGTGACGCATACTCTATTAGTACTTATTACAGCAAATTTTTCGAAATATGGCAGTCGTAGTGTATACAGAATATGATGTCACTGAAAATGTGCTAGTCTTATTCTTTTTTCGTTTTAGTGGCTGTAAAAAGTTTAATAGTCCCCTTTATCAATTGTCACTGACATAGCAAACGGTTCAATTAATTTAAGTGGGATATCCTGAGGGCATAACAGTGCCACATGCGAGGAATTTGCTTTTAATTATGAACTAAGTTTTACCAATATTATTAGTTACATCAGGACAACGGTGAGTTTAGTGTAATACATAGCTAAATTTCAATAGGAATCAGTACTTGCTAAATTATCTGAATACCCTTGTGAACTTGTGAGCTACAGTGTTCTAATAAACCAACCTACTTAACCTTAGTGACTTGTCGTTGATCAGCTGTCAATAGATACTCTAAAGCAACGTATCTTCTTTGTTGTGAAAAATTGGTCTGTGATGTTACTTACTATGAGTCCATTTGCTATTTTCGTCTACGTATATTTCTTTAAGATGTTGTTTGTGAATATGTGCTTTTTATGCAGAATTTCCTTACAGCTCACCAAGCGTCATAAAAACACATTGATTGGTGTTTGTAAAGGCATTTTATAGTTCGTTTATTTAAAAAATATTACCAAATACATGTTGACTGCGTTTGCTAAGAAAAGTGGTATGTTTATTCACACATGTACGATTTTATCAAAGGCTGTAGAATGTTATCACTTGTATACGTAAATTTGCAATAGTCTGACTAATCACAGCCAATTTAAAATATGCCAGAACTTCAACAAGATACAAAGAGTCAAATTCAAAGTAGAATAGACAAAACTGTTTTTTACTATTAAGACTTATCAAAATTCAACATAAAACATTTAACTGTTTAGTAAATATATTCATTATTCATCATGTTATCACTTTAACTAACCTAAATAAATTCCGTTGATGGAACTCTTAGCTAGTTCAAATAATTTTAAATATTAGTAGATGAATTGGATATACTTTACTAACTAGGAGTCCTTAGGATTTTCCAATATGTACTCTTGCAGCTGTAAACTGATTGGCACTCAAGTCAGCAGAAATACAATGCGCAAATTTGTAGCAGTTGTATTTGTAAACAGAATTATGTGCATAATAAAGTATTCATTGCTTTTTAAAAACATCAGAAAAATTCTCATGTTAATTAACAAGAAGTTCGGGTTTAGGATTTTTGTTAATTGATAGGTGTCAGCAAACGTTTCCTCATTCTTATCTGTAGTCCAGTTAGCTCAGTTAGAGCGTTGCTGACTGCAAAATAACTCTGGTTGTTTTAGGTTTTTGTTAGCGAGAAACAGTACTCTGATGACCTTAACTTGTATCTTATCAATCCTTACCACCTAAATCCAGTTCTTTGGCAACAAAAAACTCATCGACTAGCAAGGGGGGTCAGGTGCAGATGTGAAGATGCGGATCGGCAAAATAAGGGCTACATCTCTACAATTGAACAACATCTGGAACTTAAAACAACTGTTAACAAACAGCAAAGCCAGCATTTTCAATAGAAATGTCAAGACAGCTCTACTGTATGGGACAGAAACTTGGCTTTTTCTACTCTGGTCCGGCTGATATTGGTTGCTGCCTTCTTGTTCCTCCTTGAATTTTATCAGGGGTACCAGCAGAGATCCATTCCTTATGATGGTGCTTCTTGTGGTTCAGAACCTCATGACATGTTGAGGTGACTGCCTACTTGATCCCTTTCTAGTTTTTCTCCATGGTAGTTTCATTTCCATTCAGTAGATCGTGCAAAGACTGAGACCTATTGCTGAATTCGTTGAGTTTCTCAGCATCCTGAAGAAGGGCCGTAATAAACTTTTGTGATGTCTGCCCGCTATTCAGTTCTTCCTGAGTTTCAGTTTTGTTTCGGCGATCAGAAAGTGATAATCAGAAGCTGTATCAGCTCTTAACTTGGTTCCCACATCCTGCATTGTCCTTCTGAACTTTTTATTGATACAGAGATATGGTCGATTGGATTATGGGTAGTGTGATCCGGGGAAATCCATGTAGCTTTATGTATGTGTTTATATTGGAATATTGTTAAAGGCACATAGGTCTGCAAATATCTCGCCAGTTTTATTCCCTTCCCCCGGTCCATGTCTTCTCATGATGTCTTCATATCCGGTGTTTTCCATTCCAACCTTGGCATTTAGGTTTCCCATCAGAATGGTCAAGTCTTTTGATGAGAATCTCTTGACAATTGACTGCAGTCTCTTTTAGAACTGATCTTTAACGTCGTCATTGATATCGTTGATAGGCGCATAGCACCTGATGACGTTCATTGCAATGCCCTCTTTGTTTGTTTTTATGGATTCTTTGGTGATTCCGGGTCCATGAGATTCCCATCCTATTAGTGCCTTTTGTGCTTGTTTGGATAGCATCAGTGCAACTCGTTTTGTATGTGAGGATTTTTCTTTTTCATGACCGGAGTATAACAGCAACTCCTCTGAAGTTAGTTGTTGTTGTTCAACCTGCGTCCAATGTGTTTCGCTGATTGCATGCACCACCAGGTTGTCTCTTTTCATCTCCCCACCAGCTTAAATATTTGTGAACATTTCATGTACATAAATAATGGTTGCTGTGGTTGTGAGGGGTGTCGGCCTCGTGACTTCCGAAGGGACTTGGCTTTCATCATGAGACGTCATAACTATTCTCAATGAAGACTTTCAAATTCCCAGGGCAGAGTGATAATGGTTTGAAATGATTTTGCTTGTTATTGTTTTTTTAACGAGTTTTCTACGGGATGGCATCTCCAAACCCACGCCAAAACCCTCCTTTATCCGGGCTTGGGAACGGGAGTAGCCCTAGAAGGACTCCAGGCGCAGTTAACTGGTTGTCTTCGGTGGGTAACTAAATGCCTAACACTTGACAAAACTGAACTTCACTGGTTCAGTGACTTCCAGCTTTTGATTTTTATCTAACTAAAATCTATAACGTGAACTATGACTATTCTGTATTGTTTGATAAACCCTTTAAACAAGTATGAGATCAAAATAGAAAATCACAATAAATCGTAAGATAACTTTGTAAGTAAGAGTATATATTCACAGTCATGACTGTTGACTGAGTGGTTAGTAAATCTCACTCAATTTTCACAGTCAGTGTCCCATTTTCATCCTTCTCTTTCCTCTTCAGTTACAGCAAATACTGGAGCCGCTGAGAAGCTACGTTTAGCACATATAATGACATATGGTGAGGAGCCTACAAAGAATTCATTAAGAAATGATCAAATCAAAGATGGAAGACTGGAATATTTAAGTCGTCGTATATTGAATGATCCCAAGATTAATGGTGATGATGATTATGATGATAAGCAAATTGCAACTAATAAGGATAGATTTGAAGAATGTATGTGTTTTTATACTTATTTAGTCAAACAAACTTAAATTGTCCTCCTAATTTTTCAGTTATTTACCCAATAATACAAAGATTTTTATTATTCATCCAAAAATTTAATTGTTCATACATTTGAAGGTCAGCAAACAGATATAAACAGTGTAAGACTCGATACAAATTTATCACGGTGCTGACTGTCAGATTTTATACCACACTTGATGTACAGGAAAGTCTGCCAATAAAAGGATGAATATACAACGCAGAAGTTTTCACTACTCCATGGTATTGGTGTAAAACATGGCCATTATGAATAGAAGATATAAGTAGTTGACTAGTATTTATTTATTGTATCTAAAACACCGCTAGCGTATTTTGCCTACTTCATAAATAACGCAGGTTGACAAAAGCCATCCGAGTCCTCTGTATCCATGCCGAGATTTTGTCACACACTAGAAGACCATCAGCACTGATGAGACTACTGAGATAAGTGAAGAAGTCAACACGCTCAACTACTTCACTTACTATCAGTAGTTCAGGTGCTGATGCAAGTCAATCCTGAAGCAACATTTTACATTTCAAGTGGGAGAATCATATTCCGAACATGCTTGGATTGTTGATTATGGTGTTCTAAAGACTGTTTTATGTTAGCATCTTCACTAAACAGGACCATATCATCTGAATATTGTAAGTTAGTAAGTGAATCTCCCGGTAAAAGTTCAACTACATAAAAGTGGGACGATGAAAATGTCGCCTCTAAAACCATGTCGATTATAAAGTTAAGTAAGGATGGCGAAAGTGGAAAACCCTGACGAATATCACTTGATGTCATGAATTCTGATGACATTTCGCAAGAAGCTCTGACTCGTCTAGATGTGTTCCAGTGGAAGGTCTGTACAAGGTTGATATGCTTCAGTACATCTTTTAGTGACAGAGACTGCAGCAGAAACCCATGATCAACAGGGTCGAACAACGGCTTAAATCCGAGGAATACAACAACTTTCGGACGTCAAAATGTGTACCTATATTGTAGAGTATATGGTTTGTATGTCCACGTCCAAGTCTAAAACCAGCCTTATTTTCTCGAGTCTGCTCTTCACCAGTTCCAGTTAGGCGTCGAATGTTTATTAAAGTGAATATTTAGACACCAGTTTGTTAGATTGATTCGTCTGCGATTGTCACAAGAGGACGTTTGTTCTTTCTTATAGATTGGAACGACCAGCGATTGAAACTAGTCTGATGGGATTACGCCGAGTTGCAAAGTTCTGGCTAAGGTCTCAGTCAATCGGAATACTAGATCTGGACCACAATCCTCAGAAGTTTTAGAAGTTTGTTCACCAAGTCCTGTTGCTCTCCCTAGCTCTAGGTTACCTATAAACCTTTTAAACTTTATTGATAGTTGGAGTTTTCATGTCAACTCGCCATTCAGGTTCACTGAATATCGTGTGTAACCGAAATGTGGCTGAAGGTCAGTTGAACTGCTTCCAAAAGTGTTCTGACGATCGATCCAATCTCCTGAACTGAGAATGAGTAGTAGTCCCATCTTATTTCGCGAGAGTCTCGCTGACAGCTGGATTCATAATACCGGTTTCCTTGATAATTCTGAACAGTTGTCTTCTGTTACCTATCATCCCCGCCCTTTCCATCTCTTTTGCTCCTGTTAAATATTTTATATACATTATGTTTTCAATCAATAATGTCTAACATTCTTTAAATCTCAAAGAATATGATTACAATTTAATTCAAGTGATTATTAAAAAATCATTGATTATGTTTATCACCTAAATGATTGCTTGCTTGTGTGTCTGTTTGCATTGCAGTAAAAGATGAGATTAATGAAAGACGTGAATTTTTGACACAAATGAAAAATCTTGGACGACTTAAAGAATATCAGACTACAGTTGAAACACAAATATCTCAAGTGAGTTGAAGTAAAAAAAAGTAACACAACTAATTAATTTTCTATCGGAGTGAATTTTTTCCGCCAATAGAATTGAATAAATTGTGGAAAAAACGGAGTTCTAACAAAAAGTTTTGGTGATGATTAGATCGTACATTCTTCGTTTTTTCTCAAATTAACACTTAAGTTACAAGTCAATGCTTATTGTAAGACCACCATACTAAACTACTATTTACCTCAATTTCGTAATAGATAAATTCTACTAGTAATAGATGAATTGAGTTCAGGAGTTCACTTTCCTCATTATTCTTACTTAAGTGACAAGTTCTATGTCTGGAATTTCCCACTGACTAACTTCAACCATCTAACATTTTGTGTGGGTTTCATTCGACTTTCCTAATTTCAACTTAGATAAGCAAGAATTAGATGAAGAATGAATGTATCTCTGTCATTGTGAACAATTCTAAACCATGTCATTCAAAGTTTTCAATATTTATTGATCAGCTCCTAAACGAATTGTCTCATCTACTATAGCCAACCATGATTTCATGGACTGATGATACCGGTGTCAATTACTGGTATTTTCTTTACGAAACAATTATTAACTAATGTCACAAGTATTTAAAAGTCGTCTGTTGTGTTTTGTAAAATTCAATGAAAGAAGGATATTGAGAAGTTTTAATCAAGTTTTCCCATTTGAATAATAATAATAATAATACTGGAATTTGAATTAAATCGCGTGGGTTACTAATACTGCCATGTTTATTCAATATAACGAAGGAAAAAATGGTTTTTATTATTTGTTTGATGAAACAAAATTAAAATGGCTTGATGAAATGAAGAAAATCAGACTATATAGATAAAGATTTACTTATGCACTGAACATTGATTTACGACTAATCAAAAAGAAGTAAAAGGTTAAATGTTCTTGTCAAATGTTCAACTCATATATAAATTTAAGTGTATTGAATTGTCAGTAGATAGCGTTAAATAATCAATAATCTAGTTTAAGTATACAATACATAAAATTCACTACTGAGGAAATGCGCGAAGTTCTAGTTAGAAGTGACCAGTGTAGACAGTAACTACCAAAGACAAACGAGTGGGTTCGCACCCAGTGGTGGAGAGATTAGGCGTTCACACTGAAGACCGAAGGTCCTGAGTTTCAATCCTGCAAGTAGCAGTAGTGGCGGATGCGCACTGCCATTGATGAGTCCCATACCAGGACGAAACGGCTTCCAGGCTTCAAATGGTAGTCTAACAATCATTGACCGATGATTTCAATGCGATAAAATCAATACTTCAAAACACTGTAATCAGAGTTTATCACTAGATTACTGAGTTATGTAATTTGCTCCTTTAATCAATAATGGCATTGGTTTTCGTAAATTGAGTAGATTTTACATAAAAGAAATTACCATTAGTGTTTAAAATAAACTATTAAAAAATATGAGCAGGATGTAAATTTTATTCTATTCGTGTTTGATTTTCAATCTCATTGTAAATGTTTGTTATTTCCATAACTCATTGTACTTATGCCATAACTAACCAATCAAATTGTAGTGTACGCGCTCATCACGTGATCTGATCTGACGTGTCCGTCAACTTTCTTTGTTGTAAATGACCTACTCAATTGAAGGACATTATTATCTTATTATATTGATGTGACTCATAGTTTTTAATTCATTTCCATAAGACACGCTGTATTCACTTGGTAAATGTAATTTCCTTATTTATTGTACTAATCTATGTTTGGAAACAGATAACGTTTAAAGCAAAATTGATCTTCCTCTGACTATAGCTTTCCCATAGACTCCTGTGCTCGCCAATATTGTGTTTACAGTTCTAGAAGTACGTCTGTAGGACAAATTAAATCCTACAGTAAACGTGGCTTCGGCCAGTATTTCTATGTTTTCCGTTATAGTGTGCATATATAACGACGATTGAGTTGAAAGTCAAGTGACGACAATACATGGAATAATATGTTTAAGATAAAAATTAATTTTGGATGGTCATTTCGAAATCACAACATCGGGATTCATATTTTGTGTTAATTGTGATAGGGTCATTTGTTAGTGGCCCATGTTGTTTTGACTAATGAATTCCATCAAATCATCTATAAAATATATTAATCCTGAAAAGTTTTTAGAATGATGATCACAATTTGGTACCTTTCGACTGTCATTTATGAATCTTCTTGGTTTCACAAACAAAAATTAGCCATTGCATTCCTCAACAACTCACTGTATATATATATCTATAGTCTAATTTAATATCACATCGTCGTATACAATTACAATTAATTTTAGATTTCTCATTTAAAAAATCGACTAGTTAAATACTGCAGCAGGTCATGTAGTTTTATTTCCTTTGCTTTATGCGATTTGCATTGTTCAATGCGGTGAGTAAATTTTAATGTTATCTTTCAAGGTGATTCACATGCATTTTTTAAATCCAAATATGACAGAATAGCACCGTGATATGCTGTAACATTAGAGAAAATAATAAATCTCTGTTAGGATTAGGACCTAGCTTCAGTCATTTAATGATATTGTCAAATCATCTGCGAATGTCATTCAATGTGAGTATGAACTCGACGACTAGTCATGGCTATTCATTGATATTTTCAGGCAGAGTTTTGGAGGTTTGTGTTTTTACACATTTAAAATCATCAATGAATCATTGTTAGACCACTATTGGAAAGAAACCTGGAAGCACTGGACGGCCGTTTCGTCCTGGTATGGAACTCATCAGCAGTGTGCATTGATAACTCCAGGAATTATCTTTGAATACTAGCTATTAGAGAGTGAATGAAACAACTAACTCTTCAAAGTTTTCATCATTTCAACAATACTTCAACTTGATATCTCTTTCAATGAATGTAGCGTATTTTCAAATCGGTATAACCTCTATAAACTATTACTTTAAATTGTTCTCTGGAGTTCATTGAACTTAATAAATGCTCTGCACTTTTTTTTTCTCTCTTAAATTTCTTAAATTCACAACAATAAAGCTGATACGTGAAATGGAACAAATTGATATGAAACGAACCAAACAAATGAATCAAGATCATTTGAACAATTAAACATCTCAACTGTAAAATGAAAAACAAAACATCATCATCAGAACGATTATGGACACGATTGGCGTTGTTGTGGTTGTTGTTGTTGTTGTCATTAAATGCATTTCATAAACATTTGTCAAATCACACAATTTCTAATCATTATTACTTTTTTTCCTTTTTCCCTCCCACTCTCACACACACACACTTCCTTGTAATGCCGCCCCCAGCGCTGTGTAATAATGCATGTGTGTACACTGAGAAAGTCATCAGAATAAACTATTAAACAAATAATCCTGTTTGACTGATTTTTACCAAATTTTCACGTTTTATCCAAATGTATCGAAATTATTCGTATCAGTTCTGAAACATTATTCTGATTATGATGAATATGCATTATGGGGTGGTGAAGATTGTTAAGTTACACAATTTTTTTTGAAACCATGCGTCGATCAATGTTAGACCATCATTAGAAAGAAACCTGGAAGCACTGCAAGACGGCCGTTTCGTCCTGGTATGGTAGACTCCTTAGCACATATTTGGATTAAAATGGTTCTATGATGCACGGAATATCGCTTCTTTAATGTGATTTTACAAAACACTAGAATATCTTTACGTCAAATTCGATGAAATTCACGTATTTATTATTTCAAAAGTTCATTTCTAATTGATTAACATTAACAACAAATCAATCAAAGTGGCTTAGAAGGAATAAACAAATTACATGATTCGAAAATTTTTTATTATCTTTCATTAACGAATTATTGATTGCGGTGGAGTTTCATTGTCTTAGTTGGATATTTTGATTGGGAGGCTTTCATTATTCTTGTGAAAAATATCACTAGCACAAACTTGATTCTTATGGTAGAAAACGCTTCCAATATTGACAATTCAATCAATTGATTCTATATGGTAGTACATTTAGTAAAACAGGAAAATGTATTAGAATTCATGAAAATTTGATAAATTTTTTATTGCATATCATTGAATTCATTGAGATATTCGGTCAAAACAAAAACGACAATAGTTGTAGTGTAGTGAAGGCAACCGAATTGTATTTATCACAAATTACAGAGTTGATTGGTAAAATAGGAAAATCATATCGTAAACCGTTAATTTGCAAAAGATCAATCCGTCATCAATCCATTGTCTGACATTTCACTGTTCATGCGTTTCATACAAATTCCATTGTGTTCCCACTCTTCCCTTCTTGATCTTCCCCCATCTGCTGGTGCCAGATATTACGCTTTCACTCGCGTCATATACTACATATAAGTAGCGCGCACCACAGTAGAATACAATGAATTCAGTGTATTTCGTTGATTTCTCGTCATCTGCATATATGCATAACAGGTTATCTATTGAAAATATACAGTGTTCATATTATTAGTCAATTGATAACGAATAGGATATCTGAAGAAATAGGCTTTTTTTTTTTTTTTTTTTTTTTTTTTTTTTTTTTTTTTTTTTTTTTTTTTTTTTTTTTTTTTTTTTTTTTTTTTTTTTGCGGTGTTGATAGTGTGACGATAGTGTTTGATACGGTGTGGCAGAGTGTAAATTTTGTTTGAGTGTGGCGGAGTGGACGTGCAGTTGTGAACAGGTGACGCGTAGGCATCGGATGGAGAGAGAGACGATAGTGAGGTTGTGCGTGGACGTGTATATCGAGAGTAGGCCGTGTGTGTATGCGTGCAGTGGGAGGACAGTGTGCGTGTATTGGTGCAAGTGAGATGAATAGACTGGTGATGTTGTTGATTGTGTGTGGCGTCGAAAGTGGCTGCCGCCTCCGGGTGGGCTCGAACCACCAACCTTTCGGTTAACAGCCGAACGCGCTAACCCATTGCGCCACGGAGGCGCACTCCGCCGAACCCACACATTCAATACCACACACCAACAACTCACATCGCACGCACAAACTAACAACACTACACAACCAATACTATTTCCATCAATACACCAACACTCACACCAACTCCACTACCACATCTATTCCGCCAACATCGTTCACAACAACCAGAACGCTCACACCGTCACGTCACACACACACTGCCAATGCACACTCTTATCTCCTCTGGCGCGCGCGCGCGCGCTCGCTCGCTCGCTCGCTCACACAAACACACACACACATACACGCACAACCAAACGCTCACTATCACAACTAACACAAACGACACCGACTCGCACACGCACGCGCACACACGCACACACATGTTCACACATCTCGACACAATAGTCACTGAAACTTCGATCGTCACAACACAATTCTATGCACTCACAAGTCAGATCAACGACAACTCGACACACATGTGATTCACGTCATCCAGTGTCACTGTCGTCACACCACTGCTTCACTAACTCACAATCATACCAACAAGCTCATTGTCACTGCGCATGCGAATCACACACTGATCCGATTGTTACACGTGCACCGACTTATACACTTACGTTCAGTGACACCAACCACCCACTCACTCAGCCAGCTCAGAACGCAGTCCAATCAGTCGGAGAATTGTTTTGACGAGTTTTGCATCGGTTCAAATGGACACTGACTGGTGGTCAGTCAGTTGGATGGTGGACGTTTGATTTCGTAGTGGCGAGTATTGTCGCAACGAATTGCACTCGTATGTGTTGTTCACTGACTGTGTGCTCACAACGCAATCAGTTGGATGACGATTGTCGAGGGTGTTCGGACGGAGCATTGGTTCGCATTGGTCAACTGCATTGTCAAACAGCATAGTGGTGTTCCAAGTGTGCCAGTCGACCGATTGAACACATGATGTGTGTTATATGTGAGAATGTGTTCAGCATCGAGTGAATGAGATCGGAGGTGTTGATAGTGTGACGATAGTGTTTGATACGGTGTGGCAGAGTGTAAATTTTGTTTGAGTGTGGCGGAGTGGACGTGCAGTTGTGAACAGGTGACGCGTAGGCATCGGATGGAGAGAGAGACGATAGTGAGGTTGTGCGTGGACGTGTATATCGAGAGTAGGCCGTGTGTGTATGCGTGCAGTGGGAGGACAGTGTGCGTGTATTGGTGCAAGTGAGATGAATAGACTGGTGATGTTGTTGATTGTGTGTGGCGTCAAAAGTGGCTGCCGCCTCCGGGTGGGCTCGAACCACCAACCTTTCGGTTAACAGCCGAACGCGCTAACCCATTGCGCCACGGAGGCGCACTCCGCCGAACCCACACATTCAATACCACACACCAACAACTCACATCGCACGCACAAACTAACAACACTACACAACCAATACTATTTCCATCAATACACCAACACTCACACCAACTCCACTACCACATCTATTCCGCCAACATCGTTCACAACAACCAGAACGCTCACACCGTCACGTCACACACACACTGCCAATGCACACTCTTATCTCCTCTGGCGCGCGCGCGCGCGCTCGCTCGCTCGCTCGCTCACACACACACACACACACATACACGCACAACCAAACGCTCACTATCACAACTAACACAAACGACACCGACTCGCACACGCACGCGCACACACGCACACACATGTTCACACATCTCGACACAATAGTCACTGAAACTTCGATCGTCACAACACAATTCTATGCACTCACAAGTCAGATCAACGACAACTCGACACACATGTGATTCACGTCATCCAGTGTCACTGTCGTCACACCACTGCTTCACTAACTCACAATCATACCAACAAGCTCATTGTCACTGCGCATGCGAATCACACACTGATCCGATTGTTACACGTGCACCGACTTATACACTTACGTTCAGTGACACCAATCACCCACTCACTCAGCCAGCTCAGAACGCAGTCCAATCAGTCGGAGAATTGTTTCGACGAGTTTTGCATCGGTTCAAATGGACACTGACTGGTGGTCAGTCAGTTGGATGGTGGACGTTTGATTTCGTAGTGGCGAGTATTGTCGCAACGAATTGCACTCGTATGTGTTGTTCACTGACTGTGTGCTCACAACGCAATCAGTTGGATGACGATTGTCGAGGGTGTTCGGACGGAGCATTGGTTCGCATTGGTCAACTGCATTGTCAAACAGCATAGTGGTGTTCCAAGTGTGCCAGTCGACCGATTGAACACATGATGTGTGTTATATGTGAGAATGTGTTCAGCATCGAGTGAATGAGATCGGAGGTGTTGATAGTGTGACGATAGTGTTTGATACGGTGTGGCAGAGTGTAAATTTTGTTTGAGTGTGGCGGAGTGGACGTGCAGTTGTGAACAGGTGACGCGTAGGCATCGGATGGAGAGAGAGACGATAGTGAGGTTGTGCGTGGACGTGTATATCGAGAGTAGGCCGTGTGTGTATGCGTGCAGTGGGAGGACAGTGTGCGTGTATTGGTGCAAGTGAGATGAATAGACTGGTGATGTTGTTGATTGTGTGTGGCGTCAAAAGTGGCTGCCGCCTCCGGGTGGGCTCGAACCACCAACCTTTCGGTTAACAGCCGAACGCGCTAACCCATTGCGCCACGGAGGCGCACTCCGCCGAACCCACACATTCAATACCACACACCAACAACTCACATCGCACGCACAAACTAACAACACTACACAACCAATACTATTTCCATCAATACACCAACACTCACACCAACTCCACTACCACATCTATTCCGCCAACATCGTTCACAACAACCAGAACGCTCACACCGTCACGTCACACACACACTGCCAATGCACACTCTTATCTCCTCTGGCGCGCGCGCGCGCGCTCGCTCGCTCGCTCGCTCACACAAACACACACACACATACACGCACAACCAAACGCTCACTATCACAACTAACACAAACGACACCGACTCGCACACGCACGCGCACACACGCACACACATGTTCACACATCTCGACACAATAGTCACTGAAACTTCGATCGTCACAACACAATTCTATGCACTCACAAGTCAGATCAACGACAACTCGACACACATGTGATTCACGTCATCCAGTGTCACTGTCGTCACACCACTGCTTCACTAACTCACAATCATACCAACAAGCTCATTGTCACTGCGCATGCGA